AATATTTTGATTTCTTAACAATTTTTCCAATTTACGATAATAAATCATTTTTACATTATAATTTCCACATATTTTATGTAGATAAAAATCTAAATATATTGCGGCGCTAAATTTTTATAGAATGTAGTTACAAGGGATAATATTTAACATACAAAATGCCTACGATAGACTTGTTAAGAGAATCAAATCTGTAAAGAACATCACAAATGATTTTTTATATAATAATTCCATGAATGAACTTATACCATATAATTGAAAATGAAAACTGTTATATTAAGTTTATAAAAAAATTATATTTTGTCTTTAGAACAATATTATATAAAGTTTCATAAGTATATTGTATACAAGTAATCTTTTTTCTAATATACATATGAGAAACAAATTTCTCTTTATCTTCTCATCGTTATAATCTGATTGAATATAAAAAAATAAATAGAATGATGCCGAAATAGTATAATGTCTAAAATACAGATTTCTTTCTCTTTGTTTTTATATACATTCTAAGTGTCGTATAATAGAGTATCGTAGAATTTATTTAATAACAATTTCTTCAACAACGCAATTTCTAGAAATTACTATCTACAGGAACGTATGGACTAATTTCTCTTCCAATTTTTCTTCCGACATATTATTTTAAAAGAACGTCGAGTTTTTTAATTGCTTGCAAATACTACCGGTGGTAGTTGAGCAACTTTCTATTATATTCCCATATGTAAATAAACATCTCACACATATATTACTTTTGTACAATATGATCAATTTCAAGGCAATGCTTTTTTTCTCTTTGAAGATAAAGCAAAAGTCGTAATTAAATTATTGTACAAGTATCTATGTGGTTAGTAGATTTCACACACTTGAACTTAATAAATAAGGAAATAACTATTATTTTTTTAAACAAACACTCAAGACTTTCTCTCTTTACATATTTTAGCAAATGAAATTGTATCTACTGAAGCGATATATTGTAAATTGTTGAGAATGCATATTACAAGATGCTATATGGTATATACTATGATTCATTATATTATGTGCATTAATTTGTTTCTAATCAATTTTAAAAAGTAAAACAAAGTCGTCATTGGAAAAAAATATTTCACAAAATAATTTTAAAAATATATTTTTTGTAAACGAATAAAGTTATCATGTGCGAGAATGTTGCAAAAAAAAAGAAAATCGTTAGAGAGATTGACGAACTCGAGGTTGTGCCCATTCTACAAAATCGTCGATTAACACAGGCCAAGCACCTTCTTCATCATAATTACTCATATCCGAATTGATCATAAGTGCAAAGTCTAATAATAAGTTCCATGTGTCTTTTGGAATTGATCTTTTATGATGTTCCTAGAATACATCAGTTTATTATTTTAAAATGACTTATCAAAAAAGTAAATTCAAAAGCAATATCCAAAATTTACTTACCTGTAAGAATTGACACCATAATTGAAGAAATTTAAATTTATCGTCTAATACAATGTTCCAATACGCAATTGCCATATCCAAATCTAAGCCTTTCTGTCCCGCATTTTTTGCATAATTAAATGTAAAATGATAAAAATCCTTGAATTTTAGAGGATCCCTTAAATCATTTTCTAAACTACCTAATCGCGCTTTTAGCTTATCTATACTATCCACACTGAAAATAATTATGAAAATAGTTATATTTGTATATATGCTTGATGATAAAAAATGTAAGACACATTCACAGCACATTCATTTTTTATTCAACCATCACAGATATATATCAAAGAAGTTAATATTTACCCTAAGTCCACCATTCCATTCATAAATTCTTCTTTAGTAAATTCACATTGTGTTTCAGCACGAAATTTCCACGCAATGATTAGAACTAATTTACTCTCAGGACTTAGATTCAAGTCATCAAGAAATTTCATGATACCATCCGCGGTAATTTTATTAGGTTCACTTGGATCTATAAGATAATAATTATAATTGTAATATAATTGTTTATTACATTAAACACATAAATAATACATACTACTGAATTCTTACTAATATATTATAATATATTATAATAATCCTACCTTGGTATTTGCTATACAATATTTCCAATTTCTTTTTGTCAACAGAATTTTTCGGTTCTTTATAATAAGCTTCTGGATTTTGGAAGTAATTATCACTAGCGAGATCCAATTTCCAATCATTTTGGGCTAAACAATATATCGCAGTTTGCTCTCCAGTTTGTGTAAATGTTATAAATTTTTTCACTTTGTCCCTTTGTGAAAATTTTAACTTATGCTGCAACAATAAAGAAAATGATGAATGCTACAAACTCTTTTATCATTAATTTAAAAATAAAAAAGTAACAGTAGGTAAAAATGAAAGCGATACCAATACGATTCTCATTATGTTATAATTAAAATACATGCCAATAGAATATTTTATAATCTTAATTCAAGCAGTTATCTTGGCTGTCTGAAAGTCATATATGCAAAAATGACAGCTTGTATATCATTCAAAACACACTATGATATGTCGAGAAGGTTTTGCAGTGCATCAGAGATCATTTTAACACAACCATATTTTTAAAGTTGGGAGATAGCGGGGGGAAGCAACACAAAATGAAATTTCGCGTTGCTCCATCGTCTCAGATGATGAGGTCGACGTGAATGTGAAAAACATCATTATAATGCGAGGGATAGGTTATTCTAAAAACTCAAAAACGAAGGTTCAAAACTCCGGGATGAGGAGACAGACCGATTGATCGAATAATGCGACACAAGCATCATCTTATCGGCGTATAATCACACTTTTCTGGAATGCTTACCATTTTCCGGCTAATTTTAGGCCCCCGAAAGCCAAAATATTATTCCCCTCGCACTACGCTTGACATGGACATTGCATGAACATGCGCATGTTCGACGAAGACCTCGAGAGACGCGAATACATCACGCGGATGCGCAACGTGTCGTCGCGAGTCGCGATGTGCCACCAAACGTCGCTGGAGTAAACCAGGATACGAGAGGACTGGAGGCGACGACGAGCGGGCCGTTCGAACTTGATTGACGCGACATCAAATGCGACTGAATGCGAGGAATTAAGGAGAAACCAGAAGAGATCATCGAGTCTTTCCGAATCTCGAAAAATAAATTGACGTGGATAACTCTGATCAACTCTGATACTCCCGGACAGCTGCTCATGGTTCGCCATGCTATTTCACATTTTCGGCATGCGATCTTGGGAGCATTGGGTGAATCGGTAGTATATGTTATATTCCGCTGGGTCTTACGAGAGTGGAGATATCAGACGACGTACGTGACTGAGACGCATCTCGGGATTAACCTCAATGTTCTCGATGCGATCGCGGGCGACGTAGAATGTGACTCTGTCAAAAGTCCTCGTGGCTTGTTATTCCGGCTCGTGATTTTTTCAATCCGGATAGCAGAGAAACAGAGGAGACCATGAGGTTGCGTAGGTTACTGACACGATGATATGGTCTGATAAAGTCATCTCCAGGTTTAATTTCTACATCGATTTCTAGTGTGGACAGGTACTGGTGTCAATAATATAATTTGCGTGTCCTTTGTCCTTTAAATTAACTAAATTGTGAGAAATTATGGATGAAAAACTGTATCATATGCAAAATGAAATAAAAACTCATGAAGTTACTCTAATATCTGTATAACATATTACTTACAGAAATCCAAGAAAATGCTAGATGAAAATATCCAGAATTTATTATTAGACAGATGAAAATATTTAGCAATATAATCATGGTAGGAAATACTTATGAGGCACTTCCGTTCTATCACAGTGGAACAGGGAGGGAGATGTGCCAATGGTTGACACACATCAAATTGTCAAGGATAATCATTTTGACATCTATAGTCTTATTTATTGTGCCATTATTTACACATTACTATTTATCTAAGGTATAATTAAAGAAGAAAATTTAGCTTTTAAAAATTATTTCCTTCAGAATGCATTACATTAACTTTGAGTTGACTTTCAGGTAGAATCAGATGTTCCAGATAGGGATATGTATAGAACATTCTCAACTTTGGAGGCTTTTGAGGATTTCACATCCATGAAAGCGTCACAGCTGAAGATGAGAATAGAAGAAATGTTTCGTATAAAAATTTCAGTGAGCAATGAATTGAGAGATCTGAGCGCAAAGAGGCAAAGACTTCAGAGCGAAGTTAATAGCTTGACGCAAAAGATAGACGAGTTGAAGCAAGAGTTACTGCATCAGCAAACAGATCTTGATAGATTAAAAATAAGTGTAGAACAAGCACAGGTAGCACAGAAAGAAGCAGTGGAAAGAAACACGCCTGAATTAGCACCACCTAAGAGAATATTGATTAACACTCTGCCAATTGTATTACCTAGCACAAATCCACGATCATGTAGAATGTACAATTGTTTCGATCACAGTCGATGTGCACTGACAAGTGGTTTTCCTGTGTACTTGTATGATCCAGATCAATTTTCGGTAGTTAGTCCAGGATGGGATGTAGATGGTTTTTTAAAAACGACTATTAAACAAACGTTAGGTATGTATTTAGGATATAAATAAATATATATTACAACAAAGTAAACAGGATTGTATTTAAAAACATCTTTTGCATTATGAAATATTTATCTGTGATAAAACTTGTTATAAAAAAAATTGATTGTAGGATATAATCCACATCTTACTAGAAATCCAGCTGAGGCATGTGTTTACATAGTTTTAATTGGTGAAGCATTAAGCCTCCATCAAAAGAGTAATCAACGTCATAATAAAGCTTTAGATATAAAGAAATTACAAGCACTTCCCTATTGGGGTGGAGACGGTAGAAATCACATATTATTAAATCTTGCACGTAGAGATTTATCTGCAGATTCTGGAAATATTTTTAGTAATCTAGATACTGGCAGAGCGATAGTAGTACAGTCAACATTTTATAGAAACCAATTTCGTGATGATTTCGATTTAATTGTTCCACCAATTCTGGGACCACCTGGCGGAGATGTTTGGCAAGAATGCGCGCAAATGTTACCTGCAAGAAGGAAATATTTGCTGTCATTCCAAGGAGAAATGAGGACTTTTATGGGCACAGCGATGACATATCAGATTGATGACGCAGATATAGATCTGGAAAAATTGATAATTGATGATAATAATATAGATGCATTTATTATTCAACATTTAAAAGATATGAGCAATGGAATAACTTTGGATAAATTTTTTATTCAATTTGAATGTATACCAGCTTCTATGGAGAGTAAACCTGTGGAAACGCTTGATTGGTCTCTTTGCGGAACTGATTCATCCAGAAGAGCTATATTAAAAGAATCAACATTTGCATTGATCTTAGCTCCCAGCAATGCTACATTATTGACTACTTCGTTTATGCAAGCGAGATTGTACGAAGCATTGCGAGCTGGATCAATACCAGTCATTCTTGGTGGTGATCAGATTTTGCTTAATTATAACGAAGTTGTTGATTGGAGGAGAGCAGTTATTTTCCTACCTAAGGTAATTTTTATAGTAATTTATTATATTATATTATATTATATTATATTATATTATATTATATTTGGTAATAAATTAGCAAATTTATTTTTTAATTATTGAAATAAAATCAATAGAATTATGTCATTATTTAGGCTAGAGTGACTGAAATGCACTTTTTACTGCGCGCTGTTCCTGACAACGACCTTTTGACTATTCGGAGACAAGGTAGATTAATATGGGAACGTTATATGAGTACTGCTCAAGGTGTAGTAGATACGACTATAGCAGTAATAAGAGACAGACTTGGTATACCTCCACTACCAGCGTCTCAAACACCCAGTCCTAGTGTTTTTAACGAAAGCTTTGTGGTACGTATTTTAATATGACATGCTTTTCTTATTAAAGTATGTATTTATATATTTTAACATGAAAAACACATTTAATTTTATAATTTACATTATTTTTTATTTTGAAGCCTTTAAAATCGGATGCCATTATTGCCGAACCTGAAGCTGAAGAAAGTTTAGGTCCTTTAGAACCGCCATATCCATCTCCTGCTTTCAAGAGAAATTATACAACACTATTAATTCAAAATCATGAAATTTGGAATGATTGGATGGATCCATTTAATTTGTATCCACAATTACCTTTTGATACTGTTCTTCCCAGTGACGCTAAATTTCTTGGTAAAATCATTATTTTAGAAATTATTCTACGAGAGTTATATGTTATATTTATATTGCTTTTTTTATTTTTTTATAGGTTCAGAAGTTGGCTTTCGACCTATTGGTAAAGGTGCTGGAGGTGCTGGAAAAGAATTTAGTGAATCATTAGGAGGAAATTATCCAAGAGAACAATTTACAATTGTCATGCTAACTTATGAAAGAGAACAAGTTCTTATAAATTCATTGGCGCGTCTTTATGGTTTGCCTTATTTAAACAAGGTACTTGTAGTATGGAATAGTCCAAAACCTCCTGTAGAAGATCTCAAGTGGCCTGATATCGGCGTTCCTATACATGTAATTTTAACATACAATTTATTATTTATAGTATTTTTATTTATTTTTAAAAGTTACACATTAAAATATATTTTTCAAATATGTTCGAACAGGTTATAAAAGCTCCAAGAAATAGTTTGAATAATAGATTCCTGCCATTTGATGCAATTGAGACAGAAGCCGTCCTTTCTATTGATGATGATGCTCATTTGAGACATGATGAAATCATGTTTGGTTTTAGGTAAGTCAATTTTTCAGTCTTTTTATTTGAATATATTTTTGTTATTTATTAATGTACATCTTTAGAGTGTGGAGGGAACATCGAGATCGTGTAGTCGGATTCCCTGGTCGATTTCATGCATGGGACCAGAATTATCACAACGCTTGGAATTACAATTCTAATTACTCTTGCGAGCTATCCATGGTTTTAACTGGGGCTGCTTTCATTCATAAACATTATACATATCTGTACACACATTGGTTACCACAAGCAATAAGAGATAAAGTTGATGAATATATGAATTGTGAGGACATTGCAATGAATTTTTTAATATCTCATCTTACAAGGAAACCACCAGTTAAAGTAAGACATTATACATATATTTTAAAGAGAAGATATTCATTATTCTTATGAATATTATAAATCAAAATTTTTTAATTTTTTAATTCAGATTTTATAAAAATTCTGCAATTATATATTACAACTTAAACATTTTGTAATATAATATTTCTGTTTACATTTTAATCAATTGAACTTGGAAAATATATTAATATATGACATTAAAATATTTGTTTCTTTATTAGGTAACATCACGTTGGACATTTAGATGTCCTGGTTGTCCAGTTTCACTTTCAGAAGATGATACTCATTTTCAAGAAAGACATAAATGTATCAATTTCTTTTCACAGGTAAAAAGATCTATTGTTAATTATTTTTACATTTTTCTTATTACATTTAAGTATTCTAAATTATTATTATTATCGTTTAAATAAATTCATCAATTTTATTCAGTATAATGATTTTAGGTTTTCGGCTATATGCCTCTATTGAATACACAGTATCGAGCTGATTCGATATTGTTTAAGACACGAATACCACATGATAAGCAAAAATGTTTCAAGTTTATATGAAAAGGAGATACATTAAAATTTTTGTGTAAATAATGTAGAATAGAATTTGTAACGATTTTGATATAATTTTTTGCAGCTCATAACTTAAGAACTATTATATTATGTCGAATATTTCACAGAACACATATAGAAAACACAAGGTATAGTAATAAGGTATAGTAGTA